TATATAGAACGTTTCTTCATTACATAGTATAGTGCTTTTCAAGAGAAATATAGTTAATAACATGTACAATCTATAAAAACAATGAAATATGCATAGATGATTAGTACAGTGTTTATATGAAAATAAAACATGTCTGAAGAGAATCATCACCTAAAGCATGCATTCAGTATTTTCAGCTTTGTAATAGTTGTCTTTAACTCCGCAACTATGAATGCTTTTCTTTTCGTGTGTCTATAAAGAAGGTTTCTTTATTACATAGTATAGTGCTTTCAGCTTTAATATACACACTTACTTGTGCATTCAATACAAAACAGTGAAATATGCATGGCTGGTTAGTCCAGTGTTTATGTGAAAATCATAAAAACATGTCTTAACAGAAACATCACCTGTAACATGCATTCATTGTTCACAGCTTTCTAATAGTTGTCTTTTAACTTGGGAACTATGACTGCTTTTCTTTTCATGTATCAATACAGAAGGTTTCTTTAGTACATAGTATAGTGCTTTACAACTGTAACATAGATACTGTCTTGTACATTCTATACAAAACAATGAAATATACATGGATGGTTATACAGTGCTTATGCAAAACTCAAAACATGTCTTAACAGAATCATCACCTGTATCTTGTATTCAGTGTTTTCAGCTTTCTAACTGTCTTTAAATCGGGAACTGTGAATTCTTTTCTTTTGTGTATCTATAAAAAGGTTTCTTCACTACATAGTATAGTGTTATTCAGCAGTAATATAGGTACTTCCATATACAGAAGGTTCCTTCAATGGATAGTAGAGTGCTTTTCAGGTTTAATATAAACAATTACTTGTAAATTCTATACAAAACAATGAAATATGCATAGCCAGGTAGTATAGTGATTGTGTGAATATCAAAAAAAAATCTTAACAGAAACAACACCTGTAACATTCATTCATTGTTTTCATCATTCTAATACTTGTCTATAACTCTGGAACTACAAATGCTTTTCTTTCATATATCTATACAGAATATTTATTCATTATATGGTACAGTGCTTTTCAGCTGTAATATAGATAATTACTGGTACATTAAATACAAAACTATGAAATATACATGCCAGTTTAGTACAGTGTTTAAGCAAAAATTTTTTAAAAAATGTGTCTTAACAGAAACATCACCTGTAACATGCATTCAGTGTTTTCACCTTTCTAATAGTTTTCTTTAACTTGGGAACTATGAATGCTTTTCTTTTTGTGTATGTATAAAGAAGGTTACTTTATGACCTAACATAGTGCTTTTCAGCTGTAATATAGATACTTACTTGTACATTCTATACAATAAAAATGAAATATGGATGGCCTGTTTTTACAGTATTTATGGGAAAATCAAAACAACATGTCTTAACAGAAACATCACCTGTAACATGTATTCATTGTTTTCAGCTTTCCTATAGTTGGTTTAAATTTGGGAACTATGAATTCTTTTCCTATATCTATACAGAAGGTTTCTTCATTACATAGTATAGTGCTTTTCAGCTTTAATATACTTACTTGTACATTCTATACAAAATGTTGAAATATGCAAGGCCAGTTAGTACAGTGTTTAGGCAAAAATCAAAACATGTCTTAACAGAAACATCACCTGTAACATGTATTCAGTGCTTTCAGCTTTCTAATAGTTGTCTTTAACTCGAGAACTGAGAATGCTTTTCTTTTTGAGTACCTGTAAAGAAGGTTTCTTCACTATATAGTATAGTGTGTTTCAGCTTTAATATAGATACTTATTTGTATATTCTACACAAAACAATGAAAAATGCATGGCTTGTTAGTACAGTGTTTATGTGAAATCAAAACAACATGTCTTAACAGAAACATCATCTGTAACATGCTTTCAGTGTTTTCAGCTTTCTTATAGTTGTCTTTAACTTGGGAAATATGAATTCTTTTCCTATATCTATACAGAAGATTTCTTTATTACATGCTATAGTGCTTTACAGCTGTAATATAGATAGTTACTTGTACATTCTATACAAAACAATGGTGGGTTAGTACAGTGTTTATGAGAAAATCAAAACAACATATCTTAACAGAATCATGACCTGTAACATGCATTAAATGTTTTCAGCTTTCTAACCATTTTCTAACTCGGATAGTAAAATGTTTATGCGAAAATCAAAAAAAAATGTCTTAAACTAAACATCACCTGTAACATGCATTCAGTGTTTTCACCTTTATAATAGAACTATGAATTCTTTTCCTATATCTATACATAAGATTTATTACATGCTATAGTGCTTTACAGCTGTAATATAGATAGTTACTTGTCTTTAACTCAGGAACTATAAACAATTTTCTTTCGTGTATCTATACAGAAGGTTTCTTCATTACATAGTATAGTGCTTTTCAGCAGTAATATAGGTACTTAAATGTACAGTCTATATAAAACAATGAAATATGCATTGCAGCATAGTACAGTGTTAGGTGAAAATCAAAACAACTTGTCTTAACAAAAAACATCACCTGTGATATGCATTCAGTGTTTTTAGATTTCTAATTCTTGACTTTTAACTAGGGAACAACGTTTAGTTTTATTTTCAAGTATCTATACAGAAAGGTTCTTCTTTACATAACACAATGCATTTCAGCTCTAATGCAGGTTCTTAATTTGACATTCTATGAAAATCATTGAAACATGCATGGCCGGGTCATACTATGTCCATGTGAAAATCAAAACTACATGTCTTAACAGAAACATCGCCTGTGGTATTCATTCAGTGTTTTCAGCTTTCTAATAGATGTCTTTTAACTCTGGAGCAACATTTGGTATTCTTTTCATGTATATTGCCTGAAAGTTTCTTCATTACATTGTATAGTGCTTTTCAACTGTAATATAGTAACTTACTTGTACATTCTATACAAAACAAAGAAATATGCATGGCCGGGTGGTACAATGTTTATGCAAAAATCCAAACAACATGTCTTAACAGAAACATACCTATGACATGCATTCCTTGTGTTCAACTTTTAATAGCTGTCTTTTAACTTGGGAACAATGTTTGGTTTTAATTTCGTGTATCTATACAGAAAGTTTTTTACATAGCACAATGCATTTCAGCTGTAACACAGTTTTTGTATTGTACATTCTATGAAAATCAATGAAATATACATGGCCAGGTGGTACTGTGTTTATGTGAAAATCAAAACAACATGTCTTAACAGAAACATCACCTGTTACATGCATTCAGTGTTTTCAGCTTTCTAATAGTTGTCTTTTAACTCAGAAACAATGTTTGGTTTTGTGTTCATGTATCTTGGCTAAAAGTTTCCTCATTGTGTAGTAGGATGCATTTCTGCTCCAAGTCAGGTGCTTTCTCTTACATTCTATACAAGTTAATGAAATATGCATAGCTGGGTGGCTCTGTGTTTATTCGAAAATCAAAACGACATGACTTAAAAGAAACGTCACCCGTGACATTCTCTCTGTTTTCAGGTTTCTAATAGTTGCCTTTTAATTCTGGAACAAAGTTTGTTTTTGTTTTTGCTTTTGTATGTGTATCTTGCCTGAAAGTTTCTTCCTTACATAATATAGTGCATTTCAGCTACAATACAGACACTTTCTCATACATTCTATAGAAATTAAATGATATATGCATGGCCAGGTGTACTGTTTATGCGAACATCAAAACAACATGTCTTAACAGAAATATACCTGTGACATGCATTCAGTGTTTTCAGATTTATAATATTTGTCTTTAATCTTAAAAATGTTTGGTTTCCTTTTGGTGTTTCTTGCCTGAAAGTTTCTTCATTACCTGGAACAATGCATTTCAGCTGTAATACTGGTTCTTACATGGACACTCTATACAAATAAATGAAATATGCATGGCCAAGTAGTAATGTGTCTATGCAAATATAAAAACAACATGTCTTAAAAGAAACATCACCTGTGATATGCACTCAGTATTTTCATCTTTCTAATAGTTATCTTTTAACTTGGGAACGTTTGTTTGCTGTTGTTGTTTTCCATGTATCTTGCCTGAAAATTTCTTCTTTATCTGGAATAATGGATTTCAGCTGTAATATAATGCCCCAATACAGGTACTTACTTGTACAGATTTATGGCCACGCCCCCAGTGACTTATAACTCCGCCCTAATTCCCATGGCCACGCCCAGTGTCATAACTTCTACCCAGTTTCTCATGACCACATCCACAGTGACACATGGCCATGCCCCCAGACTCATGACCACGCCTTCAGTGAACTATGGCCACACCCTCTTACTAATGGCCATGCCCCTATGGATTCATGGCCATATCCAGTGACTCATGGCTATGCCACTAGAATCATGTACATGTCTCCAGAATCATGGCCACACACTCAGTGACCAATGTATACGCCCCCAGATACCCAGACTGTAATGGACGGCACCTCCTTTCGGCCCATCACTTCCAGTCTGTCAGTCACATTAGAATGTGTGGGACTTCCTGTCTGCCTGTCTATGCATCACTTCCGGTCTGTCAGTCACGGTACAATGGGTGGGACTTACTGTCTGCCTGTTTGCCTATCACTTCTGGTCTGTCAGTCATGTTAGAGAGGCCCAGTGAATCATGGCCATGCCCCCAGTCCTATGGCCACACTCCCGGACTCATAACCACTACCCCAGTGACCCAAGGCCACATCCCAGATTCACAACCACACCCCCTGACTCATGATCACTCCCGCAGCAACCCATATGTAATAATAATGTAAATTAAATATAACAAAAAATGATATGGATTAAATATAAAATAATATAAAATAAATCAAATATAAAATAAAATAAACAGAATAACATAGTATCTTAATTAAAAACAAAAAAATATAAATTAAACATAAAATGATATACATATAATGTAAATTAAATAGAAAAACTTAGAAATTAAATATAATGTAAATTGAATATACTATAATATTAAATATTTAAATTACAACACAGCATCTAAATTAACTATAAATTAATATTAAATACTTAAATTAAGTGCTTAGTCAAATGAAAATGACCCGCAAGGGTGGAGAAACACGAAGGTGATGATGTTATCCACGGGAGTCTGAACAGTGCATGATGCACGGGTGACCTGGCGTCAGTGAAACGTGTCAATGGAGGAAACACAAAATGGCTACCAGACCCAGTAATGTTCATTTAAATAATAGGACAAGAATAAAAAAAAAGATTTGGGGCCCTGTTCCACACACATTTACATAAAATTTAAATACTCAACACATGTGCGTGTCTTTCTGATGTCACTGACAAAACCTGCACCCACAGAGATACCCATGTGGTATGGGGGTCATTTGCATATTCATCTCATACTATGCCTGTATTTACATATTCAAAATGGTGCTGCTTCATGACTTATATCATACTCTGCATATTTAAACAGCACGCTCTCCTAATTTGCATGTTCATATCACATGGATTTACACATTGGATTGGGCTAATTTGCATATTCAAATCAGAGTGCCCTGATTTACATATTCAAAATCATGCTGCTTCATGACTTCAACATTACATCACAATCTGTATATCCAAATCTAACCTAGTCTTCATTTGCATATTCCAATCTAAGCCGCCCACATTTGCGTATCCAGATGATGCCACTTGGAAACAGGGATTTTCTATGAAGTCCTCATTTGCATATTTAAACTTGAGCAGGGACCATGTTGTCAGTGGTGACGTCATCCGTGGGCGTTGCCTCAACATCTGAGACATGAAATCAGTAAACCGTGGGTTTGGGCTTCTGGAGAAAACCCTGCCCCGCCCATCTGTCAGTCAGGAAGGGGGGGTGGTCTGGTAACGTCATCCCTCTGTGATGGCATTGTCTGGAGGCGGGAAGTCGGAGGTCATGGCGACACCATCGGGTGCAGGGGCTATGTGGGAGTGAAAGGGTGGAGCCAGAGTCAATCAGATGTGGGGGCGGGGCTTCATCCTGTGACCCAGTCCATGTGCCCTGTGACCAACCTCCTACTCCAGACTCCGCCCCATCCACATTTTGGCCCCACCCACACCTCACAGATCCCACCCCCGGCCCCACCCTCACCTGCAGAGAACTGCAGCTCGGCCCTGGCGCCCAGCAGCCGCTTCTCCCCCCAGAAGGCAACGGCTTGGAGCTGCATCGCATAGTCACCAGGGCGTAGCTGGGGCAGGACCACAGAGTGCTGGGTCTGCGGGGGCGGTGGGTGGTCATGGGCTTAGGGCACGTGGGAATGTGACACCACTTCCCCCCACCCCCTTGGATCTATCTCAGACTGTGATGACTGTGGACTATCTCAGACTGACAAGAGATATGAAGCACTAGGGTATCTCAGACCACACGTGGGCTATCTCACTTCACACCATGTGGGCTATCTCAGGCCACCCACGTGGTCTACAACCCAGGGTGTGGGCTATCTCACAATATGGACGCCACCCTGGGGCTATCTCAGATCACATCCAGGTCTACCTCACACATTGCACGTGGACTATCTCACACCACCCGAGATATCTCTGACCACCGGGATACCTATGACCACTGGGATTATCTCACACCACCCAGGGCTATCCCACACCATATGGGCTATCTCACATGGGCTATCTCATTCTACCCTGAGGTCCATCCCGGGGTCCACCCCTCCCACTCCCTGCTCACTGCATCCAGGGTCATCCTCCGCCTCGCCTTGCCCCCGGCCCCGCCCCATGTGACCCGGAAGTGGTGGGGCGGGACATCAGGCTCGGAGTCTGGCGCCCATGCGATCTCCACACTCACGCTGCCATCGCTGTGCCCGACAACACGTACCACGCGGAGGTTGGCCGGAGCCGGGGGAGCCGCGGGGTCTGCGGGGGTTGAGGGGGGCTACAGTGACCTCTGACCCCCGAATGACCCTTTGACACCGCCCACCCCACATCCCCCGGCTGACCTCGGGTGGACAGGAAGTGCCTGCTGGGCGCAGTGAAGCCACGGGAGCCGTGGGCTGCGACACGGAACTGGAACCAGCGGCCGGGGCGTGGGGCTGGGAGGAGCGCACGCGGGAGTGCGGTCTGCAGGGGTCACAGGAGGTCAGTCACCTCAGGGCCCTGCCCACTTCCCATCAGGCACTCGGTGGGAACCGGTGGGCGGGGTCAGGGACTATTAATCATGCACCGCAGGCCCCACCCCCAGGAATGATGTCACCGTGATGTGGCCCTGCCCCCGGCCCCCGCCACTGCACCTGAGCCACAGTCTCCCAGGCCGACGTGCCATCCTTGATTGGGTCGAGTCCAAGGTTAGACCTCGCCTGCAGCACAAACACCACTGGCTCCGGGGCATCACCGACTCCGGCTGACCACGTGACCTCCAGCCCAGCTGGGCGCTCAGCAAACAGCAGGGTGGGGCGGGGCCTCGGGGGAACGCCTGAAGGGGCGGGGCCGTCAGTGATGTCACCATCCCTGTGCCTAACAAGCTCACTCCCAGCTCCCGGGAGCCCCGCCCCCGGCCCCGCCCACCTCGGAAGAGCGCGCGGGGCGCCTGGCACGTGCGCCCGCAGCCGTTGCCACAGCACTTCCGGCCCCCGCCGCAGTCGCCGTCCGCCTCGCAGCTCAGCACACACGCGGCCTCAAAGCCGCGGGCCCGGCCCGGCGCTGCGCACGCGCCCTGCCTCCGCCCTCGCGCCGCCCGCAGGAACTCGCAGCTCGACAGGCACTCGGGCGGGGGCGGGGGGCGGGGCTTCCCATGAGGACTCCCATCTTGCACTGGGTGCCTGGGATGCCCGGGGGTGAGGTTTGGGGTAGGGTTGGGGCTTTCCCATGATGCACTAGGGTTGGGGGCGGGGTCGGGATCTCCCACCCGCCTCACCTCACAGAAGCTGTTGCAAGGTTGCGGCCTCTCCTCGGGGTCCCTGCATGGAGCCAGGCACTGCACAGGGGGGACAGGGGGCATGCCTGGGCTAAGGTGAGGAAGCCAAGGGGATTGGGGCAGCCTGGGCTACACTGGGGGTAGTCATGGGACAGCACGGGACATACAAAGTGAGATTCAGAAGCAGCCTGGTCTATGTGGAGGGAGAACCAGGACAGCCTGGGCTAACACAGACAGACGCATGGAAAAGCCTGATCTACATGAAAGGCGTGAAAGACTGAGGGCTGTGAGGGGCGAGTTTCCATAGCCTGGGCTACGTGAAGGTACATGATTGGTACAGCCTGGGTTATTCCATGAGGAATAGTGAACTGCCAGGGCTGCGGGGAGGAGAGATCGGGACGGCCTGTGCCACATGGAGAGAGTCGTGGAATAGCCTGGGCCATGCGGATGGAGACTGGAATATCTTGAGCTAGTGGAAGAAATGTGAGACAGCTTGGGCTACACAGACCCCGGAGCTATAACCAACTGGCTCTACACAGAGCCCCGGGACAGCCTGCGCTATGAGGAAGGAAGAGGGACAGCCTGGACTATGTATACTGACAGGTCTGTACACCCTGGGCTAAAAAGAGGACGGGAAAGCCTAGACTACGTGGGGAAGCCTGGCCCCGCCCTCAGCTAGAGCCCCGCCCTTTAACCCTAACCCCGCCACCAATGAAGCCCCGCCCCAACAGTATCCCCCAATGGCGGGAGACACCACGCCCCGCCCTTGTGACTTCATCAGCCCTGGATGATGTTGCTGGCCACGCCCAAATGCCGAGGTCAGCACCTGCAGGCACCGCCTGTCGTTCTGGCACCAGAGCAGGGCGTCGCTGACGACACCGTCCTAGGGGGCGGAAGTCAGAAGTTAGGGTTCGGAGTGACGTCACCAAGGGTCTCACCCCCGCCCGCCGGCCCCGCACACTATCTGTTCAGCTCCGCCCCTGAGCCCAAACCCTGACACCTGGATATTCTAGTGACGTCACACGTCACATCTGGTCCTCCCCGGCCCTCTTCCGGTTCCAGCCAGACTCTGGTGAACCCCAGAACCAGAACTGTGACCCCAGGACCAGCTGCTACATCATTTCCGTTCGCTTCTACCCACTTCCGGATTTACCGGGACACAGGTGACCCAGGACCAGCTGTGATGTCACTTCTGGTCATTCAGTCCCACCTCCGGGCCCGCCATGGTTCTGGCGACCCACCTGGCCCCGCCCCTCCGCCGACTTCACGTGCAGCCCCAGGCAGCGGGCGGCGCAGCGAGCGCCCAGCACCGCCCCTCCGCTCAGCTCTGCGCCAGGGCCCCGCCCCCCGGGCGAGGCCACGCCCACGGCGGCAAGCCACGCCCACACGGCGGCGGCCGCGCACACGTGCAAGCGTGGTGTCATACGCTGCATCGCCAGGTGCGGGTGTGAATCACGAGTGTGGCTCCCCCCTCGCGACTTCCGGTGTACGCCGCTGCGCTTGTCAATCGTTCGACCGATCGAACCAGTCAATCAATTGATCGTACAGGAGCGATCGGAAGTGGGCGGGTTCGGGCAATCCGCATCATCCCACTGCCGCAGCTCGCTGAGACGCCCTGGGCGGTGGGCGAACCCTAAGTGTCCGCAGCGACATCATCGGGAGGGGATTTCCGGTCTGTAGGGGGACTTCCTGTTCCCGTACCATGGCTTGATTGACGGGTGTTGGTTTGTGATGACGTCAAGCCACGCCTATGGGACCCTGAGTGACAGCCTCTTGCTCTCCCGGCTTTTCAGGCGGAAGTCCCGCCTCAAGTACGGTGATTGACAGCTCAGGCCTGCCCCAGTTCCCACAGGAAGTCCCGCCCGTAGGATGTCGATGCCTAGCTGTCGCACTGAACTCCATATTTGAATGTCTTTATGCAAACGATGCTGGGGTTGATTGACAGGGGAGCAGGTCTCTGTTGTTTCCAGCCAGGATCTCTTTACTTGGGAAGACTGATTGACTATTGACTGATTCACTGGCAGCTGGTGGGTGATTGATGATGGAGTATTGATTATTGATCCGTTATTGATTGACAGCTGATGGAGTATTGATTATTCATAATTGCTTGGTTGTTTATTATTGATCAGATCGGAGGTGGGCGGGTTCGGGCAGTCCGCATCATTCCCCAAATTCTCCTCATTCAGTCATGCCTGAGGACACGCCCACAAGCTCTTATCCACTCAATCTCGAGGCTCCGCCCACTTTCGCCCGTGGGCTCTGATGCTGTGCACCTCAGGATCCGAATTGACATAATCGGATTAGAGCGGGGGCGTGGCTTGGGCCCACGTGGTGCACACTGTATTCACTTCCAGGTCCGGATCCAGTCTGAACCGGCCGCGCAGCACCGTCCCGCCCCTCTGTTAATGTGCTCCCTGAAGGAGATCCGGCTCAGACTGGTTAGACCAGTTCCCACCAGTTCCCCAGCTCCAGGCCACAACCCTACCTCAGAGCCAGGACACCAGCGTGCAGAGCAGAGAAGCTGCGACCAGGTGGGACCGCTGCGACCCCCGGGAGGTCAGGGTTCGCAACAGGGCGGGGTCGGGGCCGGCGAGGGGGCGGGGCTTAGAGTTCCCACAGGAAAACCAAAGCTGGTGGAGCCAGGGGAGGGGACAAAGTGGCGGGATCGGGCATCTGGAGGGAAAATGGTGGCAAGGGGTGGGGCCGAGGTGGGCGGGACTAAGCGGAGGGATTGATGGGCGGGCCCAAGGGGCGGTGCCTAGGGAGTGAACAGCACTGGGGCCTTTGGGTAGGAAAATGGGCTTGAGGGGTCTGAGCTGAAGTGGGGCTACATGTGATCCACAGGCAGAGCCTGTAGGCGTGGCCCGCCTGTGACTGACAGCTCACCTTCCCTTCTTCCTCCCCCCTGGAAGTCCCGACCCCGTGAGCATCATGGCTCCTCCCCAAAGCCTCTGGTAAGGCCCCCACCCTATCTGTCCCATGAGGAGCTCAGGCTGGCCTGCCCATGCCATGCCTCATGAATATGCTAATAACTGATATGCTAACTTGTGCCTGGTTTGCACAAGCCCACCCATACTGTGTGTCCTGCATCCTCATGAATCACCTGAATGTTGGCTATACAAATCAGCTCATTAATAGTCATGAGCCAAGTTTGCATAATCACAGCCTCACTGGCACGTTTTCTAACCCCTCGCCTATTTTGCATAATAGGTTTCTTAATTTGCATTTACAAAGCATTTGAGTGCTTGTTTTGTGAATATTAAGACTTCATTAGCATAATTGGGTTGCCTTATTTACATGCCTCACCTTACCTTACCTGCAAGCCTAATTTTCATAATTATGATCTTAATTTGTATGCTTGTAGCCAGACATCTAAATAGTCTGCTTGGTTCAAGAATATTCATGGACCTAATTTGCATAAGTGTCATTTGCAAAGCTGCCGTGACCGTGCGGTGCTGTAGCCCTGTAAACAAATCTGCATAATGGAAATCTCAGTTTTCATGCACAAAGCATCCAAATGTTTGATTAGCTCATTTGCATAAATAGGCACCTCATCTGCATGCTGCTCAAGGCTGGGGGCCCCACCATTACCCAGCGTGCCTCAGTTGTAGCGATGTCATGGCCTCTCCCTCCCCTATCCCCTCCAGGCCCAGCCCCAAGGCCCTCCTGTGCGCCCTGCTGCTCCTGCCATGTGTGCCCGCCCTGCGTCCGCCGCCGCCCCAGCCCAGCTTCCTCATCATCATGGCTGACGACCTTGGCATTGGTGACCTCGGCTGCTATGGCAACCACACGCTCAGGTGGGCGCCACAAGGGCGAAGGGTTAGCCCGGGTTAGCCTGTCTTAGTCACAGTCGCAGGTTAGTCCAGGTCACAGTCCCTGCCAGTCACAGGTTAGCCCAGGTTAGCTCCTCTCAAACACACACACCCACACACCCTGGGGTGTCCCCAGGATCCCCTCAGTCTATCCTGGGCTCACCCTGGCCCTACGTCCCGGCCTCACCCCGCAGGACCCCACACATCGACCGCCTGGCGGAGGACGGCGTCCGCCTCACGCAGTACCTGGCCGCAGAGTCGGTGTGCACACCCAGTAGGGCCGCGTTCCTCACGGGGCGCTACCCCATCCGCTCAGGTGACCCTGCCCTGCCCGACCCCGCCCACCTCCCCGCTCTACCGACCCCGTGCTCCCGCCCCCGGCACCCGCGGACCCACTGTGCTCCCCCCGCAGGCATGACGTCGGGCTTCGGGCACCGTGTGCTGCAGTGGGCAGCGGGCGCGGGCGGGCTGCCCCCCGAGGAGCTCACGTTCGCCCGGATCCTACAGGAGCGCGGCTACGTCACGGGTCTCGTGGGTGAGTGCGGGGCCGAGGCAGGTCTGAGGCCTGGCAATGATGTCACCCACGAGTGGGCGGGGCCTCCATTAATGACAGTGTGATCGATGATTTCACTTGGCAGTGGGCGGGGCCCAAGGTCAACGACGTCATCCATGGGCGGGATCTCGTGGTCGCCCTGTGTGGCTGATGTCGTGTGACCCCGCCTTCCGTTCCCCCCCCGCCCCCGCAGGGAAGTGGCACCTGGGCCTGAGCTGCCGCACGCGGTCTGACCTGTGCCACCATCCCCAGCGCCACGGCTTCCACCACTTCCTGGGGCTGCCGCTGGGCATGATGGCGGACTGCGCGCGGGCGGAGCCGTCTGAGAAGAGGGCGGGGCTGGAGCGCGGCCTGCGTGGGACGGGGCGGGCCCTGGGGGCTGCGGCTGCGGCGGCCATGGCCTTGGCAGCATTGGCCGGGGGGCGGAGCCGGGCTGCGCTGTGGGCGGCGCTGGCGCTGGGCGTGTCGGCTGCCATCTTGGAGGCGGGGTCACGTGCGGTGGGCGGGGCCATCACCTACCTCGACTGCTTCCTCATGCGCAATGACACCGTCACCCAGCAGCCCCTGCAGCTGGAGCACGTCAACGCCCTGCTGCTGCGCGAGGCTGAGGACTTCCTGCGGCGGTGAGGGGCAGTGGGGACCTGTGCTGACCAAGGTGGGCGGGACATCCTGGGCTAACCGTTGTGGTTCGCGGAGGGGATAGGATATCCTGGGCTAACCAGTGTGTGTGTATTCCTGTCTCAATGGCACGGCCCTGCAGTAGATCCTGGGGTATCCTGTGCTAACTGCTGAGCTTTATGGCCTAACGGGATACCCTGGGCAAGCCAGCACGTCGCAGGGATAGCCTGCACTCACTCAACATCCATCTGTGATGATTGGGATATCCTGTGCTACAGGTTACTGCTGACTTTTCCCATCTTCGTGGGTTATCCTGCACTAGGTATCTGAAGTTTCCTGTGCTGACAGGATAGCCTGTGCTAACCGCACACATTTCCTTTCACGGTGGAATATTCTGGACTAACTGCTGACCAGTCTGAGGTAGTGGGCTATCCGGCACTAAACCGTTGAGCTTCCCGCTCTCCTGTGAAACCGGGCACTAACCATTGGGGTTTCTGGTGTGACTGGATATCCTGCACTAACAATAGAGCCATTGGGCCTAATGGGGCTAACCACTTGGGGTTCCTTTCAGAATGGGCTATCCTACCTTAGCCACTGAGCTTCCTGGGCTGGTGGGATACCCTGTGCTACCCTCTGCAGGTCTCGGAAGGATGGGGATATCCTAGGCTAACCAGCGAGGCTTGTGGTCACGATGGGATATCCTGCACTGGAAAGTGAGGTATCCTGCGCTAACCACTAACAAACCGCTTACCTATCCGGGGTTTTGGGCTATCCTGCGCTAATTGTTGAGGTATCCCGCTTTATGGGATACCCTGCGCTCACCACGCTGGGTCCCAGAGGAGAATGGGATATCCTGCACTCACAGTAGGGTATGACAGGGCTAACAGGGTGTCCTGCAGTAGTCAGTGACCCACCTCTGTTCCTGGGACATCTCAGGCTAACCACCTGATGCCCCGGCCCCGCCCCCAGGCACAGCCACACTCCCTTCCTGCTGTTTGTGTCCCTGCTGCACGCGCACACGCCGCTCGTGACGTCGCCTTCCTTCCAGGGGCGGAGCCAGCACGGGCGCTATGGCGACCACGTGGAGGAAATGGACTGGGTGGTGGGTGAGTGGGCGTGGTCACGGGGGCGGGGGCTGGGATGGTGGGTGGAGTCAGTTACGAGATGAGCGTGGTCATTGTGGGGACGTGGGCGGGGCCAATGGGTGATGTGTCAGGCCATGAAGCCCTGACCCCGCCCCACCCCAGGCCGCATCATCCACACACTTGACACCCTGGGCCTAGCCGACCGCACGCTCGTCCACTTCACGTCCGACAACGGCGGCTGGGCTGAGGCCACGGTGGGAGGGGAGCGGCTCGGGGGTTGGAACGGCGTCTACCAGGGTGAGTGACGGGTGGGAGGCGGGGTCACGGGGGGGTCACAGGGGTGGGGGTAGGGTCATTGGGTGCAAGATGAGCAGCCCACCCACTTCCTGTTCCCTGAGTGACAGCTGGATGTGGTTGTGAAGCCTCGCCCACTTCCTGCCTGGGGATTATTGGTGCCCCGCCCCCATTGACCATGCTCCCTTCTCTTGTTTCCTGCCCTGGACTCCATTCCTGTCCCGCCCTCCATGTGCCCACCTGACATCCTGCCGTACACATCACTTCCTGTTCTCAACTCGACTTCCTGGACTCACTTCCTGCCGGGACCTTGACTTCCTGGCCTCCCTTTCTGCCCTGTCCCCAATCCTGTCCTGCCCCCGTTACCCCGGCCCCGCCCCAGGTGGCAAGGGTGTGGGCGGGTTCGAGGGCGGGCTCCGGGTGCCCGGGATCTGGCGCTGGCCGGGCGTCCTCCCACGGGGGCGTGTCCTCGATGAGCCCACGAGCCTGATGGATGCCTTCCCCACGATCGTGAGACTGGGGGGCGGGGCCGAGCCAGCCGACAGGTGAGGAAGGGGGCACAGCCTGAGTGACATGACACAGGAAGTGAGGGTCTGAGAGGAGGTGGGCATTGCCTAGGTGGGTGGGGCTTGTGGTGTCTCACTCCTCGGCCCCGCCCCCAGGGTGATTGACGGCCGCGACCTGATGCCCCTGCTGACGGGGGCGACCCCGCACTCCGTCCATGAGGTTCTGCTGCACTATTGCGAGGTCTTCCTGCACGCAGGGCGCTGGGCGGACCGCACCCGTGAGTTACAGCGGGTGTGGGATATTGGGGTGGGGGCAGGGTCATTTCCTGTCAACCACTGACTATGTCCCGCCCACTTCCTGTTTCTCACACTTCCTGTCAGTCAATGGCCAGGCGCCACCCACTTCCTGTCTGTATCATTCACACTTCTTGTCAATGGCCAGGCCCTGCCTACTTCCTGTCTATTTTGCATTCACTTCCTGTGAATCGAGCAAGAGCCAGGGCTAGCCCATTTCCCATCTGTCGCCCTCAGGACCCGTCCCCTCTCCCTGCAGGTGGCAAGCTCTGGAAGGTCCACTTCGCTACTCCGACCTTCAACCCCCCAGGCTCGGGGTCCTGCATGGGGCGTGTCCTGTGCCCATGCGCAGGGGCGGTAACAGAGCACGACCCCCCACTGCTCTATGAGCTGTTGTCGGACCCTGGGGAGGCGCGGCCCCTGGCACCGGGGGCGGAGCCCGCACACGCTGAGGCGGTGGCGAAGCTGAGGCAGGAGCATGACCGCCATCTCCGCTCACTCGTGCAAGTGCCGCAGCAGATGGGCTCGCTCTACAACACCTGGCTGCCCTGGCTGCAGCCCTGCTGCGGCCAGTTCTGCACCTGTGACCTGGAGGGCGGGGCCAGAAGTGATGAGGACAGCTGGGGGCGGGACTTCCTGTGAAAACCTGAAGTCATCAGTAAAACCTAGAAGGGAAGTCATGATCTCCTACCGTACTGTTCGGTGAGGGGAGTCGGTGTGGGGTCTGGGGAGAACTTCCTTTGAAACCGAAAGTTATGGTGGCTGAAGGTAGGACTTCCTATGAGGCTGGAAGTGACATTTATTCCAATAAAAAATACCAAAGATGGCATCATTGGGTCTGTCATGGGGTCGGGTTTTGTGGGTGGGGTCTCAGAGCAGTTTTCTGTGAAAGCGGAAGTGATGGTGACGACTGGGGGCTGACTATCTGTGAGGATAGGAAGTGACGTTTATTCCAATAAAAAAATACAAAAGATGGCGTCATTGGGTCTGCCATAGGGTCAGTGATGACATGGGAGGGGTCTTGGAGCCACTTCCTGTTCCCATGAGTGACGTCATAGCTGTGAAGTCCTGTGGGAGCGTGGGGCTTCGTTTCTGATGGAGCACTGGCTAGAGGTGGCCGCAGACCCTGCAAGGGACGGCATGCATTTCACCACGCTCCCAGACCCCAGGCTCCTGACACTCGGCCAAGACCTCCATTGATCCACACCTTTCAGTCACGGAGGCCAACGCCCTACAGCCCCTCAGGGAGAGGGCGTGACTACAGGCCACAGACTCAAGAGATCTCCATATTAATGAGATACCTGAAGGCCAGAGGGGGTAGCCAATTAAGCACTCCTCCCCAGACCCTCCTCCTACTCACAAAAGGTATTTAACCTCAGGCCCGCCCTGAGGACACAGGATACAGCTACATCCACTTTCTGCTATGACAATAAAAAACCTTTAAACCATGGACTTCCTCGTGTCTTTGGTGCCACCGTGGAGAACTGTGGAGAGGGGCCTTCGACTACCGAGCCGCCACTTCATCTCCCGCTGAGGACTTCTCTATGTTCCAGCCAATTCAACCAAGCTAGCCAACCCAGCCAAGCGAGTGCCTCCACCCTGCAGGGCGCCACCGGAGCTTCCCCCCTCTTGTCCCTCTTGGCTGCAGGCCAGTCCAGCCCATATGCCCTCGTATCTCAGTTCTTCCACAGCTCCCAGCATCGTCTGGGAGTCCAGAGACAGAGACCACCAGTCTCCCAGTCAGCCACTTCGGCCTGGAGACTTCCACTCAAGAGCTCTGCCCCCACGTGACTTCAGGATAAGACCTCTCCATGCCCGGGTGGAGCCCGGCAGCATCTGCCCGGCACCACATGGTGTGAACTCAGTCAAATTCTCGAGCTTCTGCCTCCCTGAGCCACGGTTCCAGCCAACTGGGGCAGCAGACATGCGGGAACCCCAACAGCTCAACAGGACACTTGCACACGCAAGAGCTAACAGCTCCGCAAAGTCCCACTCCCTGATCCCACTACCTGTCCCCACTTCCTTTTACTATGAGTGATGTCATAGCTGTGAAGTTCCCACCCCTGATCCCACTACCTGTCCCCACTTCCTGTTCCTGTGAGTGATGTAATAGCTGTAAAGTCCCCGCCCCTGTCCCCACTTCCTGTTCCTGTGAGTGATGTAATAGCTGTGAAGTCCCTGCCCCCTGATCCAACATTCATTACCTAGTACGATGCATTTCAGCTGTAATACAGGTTGTTACTTGTACACTCTATGCAAATCAATGAAATATGCAGGGCCGGATAGTACAGTGTTTATGCGAAAATCAAAACAACATGTCTTAACAGAAACATCACTTGTAACATGCATTCAGTGTTTTCAGCTTTGTAATAGTTGTCTTTAAGTCGGGAACTACATTTGTTTTTCTTTCCATATATCTTGACAGAAAGTTTCTTCATTACATTGTACAGTGCATTTCAGCTGCAATAAAGGTTCTTACTTGAAAAATTCTGTACAAATCAATGAAATATTCATGCCCTGGTGGTACATTCTCTCTTCTAATAACCAGAAAATTGTTAGTTTTACTTTCCTTAAATATGAACATAAATATTTTTGTTTTATTAATTGGTAAAAATATAACATGAATCAAATAGTGCTAATGGTTTAAGGAAGTGGATAAGAGTTGAGTCTAGAAAGAATGCATTCTTCTTGCTTTGATTATTGATTTTTGTAGCTATTTACTATACACCCCAGAAATGTAACATCAATCTATTTCTAAAATGCTTGGCTTTTATTATCATAATCCCTATTTTGACTGTCGATGTCTTTCACCTTCTTTTTTCAGGCATTTTTTTCTTATTATTCTTTAATGTTTTTAAATAATATTCCAGTCATTATCCCCCTTCCGGTCTGCCCTTTGATTGTTCCTTATCTCATTCTTCTTCCCCTGTCTCCAATAGAATGTATCCCTCACCCCCATCTCACCAGACCTCACCACTCCCTGAGGCCTCAAGTCTTTGGAAGGTTAGGTGTTTTTTTCTATCATTGTATCATTGAGTCAGTGAGGCAGTCCTCTGCTGTATATATGTCAGGAACCTCAGACTAGCTAGTGTATGCAGCCTGGTTGGAGGCTCAGTGTCTGAGAGATCTCTGGGGTCCAGATTAGTTGAGACTGCTGGTCTTCCTATGGGGTCATCCTCCTCAGCTTCTCCCATCCTTTCCCAAATTCAACCCCTAGGGTCTCCAGCTTCTGTCCGTTGGCTGGGTATAAATATCTGAACCTTACTTTTTCAACTGTTGTTGGGCCTCTTGGAAGGCAGCCATGCTAGGCTCCTATCTGTAAGAACACCATAGCATCAGTAATAGTGTCAGATCTTGGGGGCCTTTCCTTGAACTGGATCCCAATTTGAGCTAATCACTGAACCCTCTTTTCCTCGGTCTCTTCTCTATTTTTATTCCTGCAGTTCTTTGAGACAGGAACATTTCGGGTTCAGAGTTCCACTATTTGGAGATGATATAGTAGTATACATACGCAACCCCAAAAATTCTACCAGAGAACATATATAGCTAATAAACAACTTCAGCAAAGTGGCTGTATATAAAATTAACTCAAATCAGTAGATTTCCTTTATACAAATGATAAATAGGCTGAGAATGAAATTAAAGAAGCAATACCGTCCACAATAGTCACAAATAATGTAAAATACTTTGGGGTAACTCTAACCAAACAAGTGAAAAATCTCTAAGATAAGAACTTCAAGTCTCTCAAGAAAGAAATCAAAGAAACAAACAAATAAACAAGACTCATATATATGCCCATGAAGACTCATAAATATACCCATGCTAAAATGTTCTAAAACATCTCGGGAAATATGAAGATATGGAAATGGAAGTTTAGTTTTTGATATTCTATTTTCCTTTTTTCTCTCAAACAGTATCTATATGATGCTGAATATTTGGGATGATGTGACTGACACATCTCTTGTATTGACTAACACCAATCTGACATGGAGAATACACAGCTTGAATTAAGCACATTTTCTCTTGGGTCAATGATCACAACTTACATATGCAGTGCCCTGAAAATTCTATGCTGAGACATATAGGCATACTGTCACTAGGTAGGCTGTCAGAACATCGTTTCTCGAGTCTTTCATATTGGTTCAGGAATGCTAAAGACAGTAGTTTTCAATACCAAACAGTTTTAGACTTTTCCAAATGCCCCAAACTTTCTTTCGAAATTAAATAACATAAATAGGTAAATTGACGCCATCTAGACTACTTTTATGTCTTCAGATCAAGAAAATTGTTTTGATATGAAATTTAAAAAAAACCATGTTTTTGAAAATCTAATTGTGATTTTCTTTTCCACTTACAGATGTCATTTGATCCTCTTTTCTTTAAACTAAAATATTGAGTATCACTTGGTATGGATTTGAGCAGAGCGGAGGTGATGATATTATTTAGTACAAAAATCCATGAGAATTAATACCCTTCCGTTTAATCCCAGTCTTATCAAGAGGGTTTAACAAATGATTCATTCCATAATATATCTCAGTTACTTTCAAACTAAATTTATCAACTGATAATTATTCAAGACCTACATGACAGCTTCAACAAATTATTTAGCAAACTTACGTAATCAAATTGTATAGGTTTCATAACATTTGGATAAAAAACTATTTCTGGATTCTACTTCCCTTCCACCCCTGCCTGGTCCTTTTGGCTGGGGCAGACATGGAGTTGGTCTGCTCCTGTGGAGATACTGAATCCTGAGCCATCCTAGAGGAGCCACTGCACTCAGAGCAACTGGTAAGAATTCCATCTCACTCCCTACGCCCCAGAGTTACATCTGGGAGCCAGGGACGCTCTGGACCCACCAGCTACCCAAACCCCGCCCCTCCAGAATTCCACTTCCCTTCCGCCCGTGCCTGGTCCTTTTGGCTGGGGCAGACACAGAGTTGGTCTACTCCTGTGAAGATAATGAATCCTGAGCCATCCTAGAGGAGCAACTGCACTCAGAGCAGTGGAGGAGCCACTGCACTCAGAGCAGTGGAGGAGCCACTGCACTCAGACCAGCAGATACCTAGTTGGTTTGCACTTGTGGAGATATCATATCCTGAGCCATCCTAGAGGAACCACTGCACCCAGGGCAGAAGGATTTCCAGATCCCAGAGGTGGCCAGAGTCCCAGGAGTTCTTCCACCCAGGAGATTAGGATCATAAGACCACAGAGACATCTGGACTCTGAGGAGCTCTGACACAAGCAAGATAATTGGAAATACAGACTCCAGTCTTACCCAGTGAGGGCAGGTAATACTAGAGTGAACCAGATGGCGAAAGGCAAGCGCAAGAACAAGCAACAGAAACCAAAGTTACTTGGCATCATCAATACCCAGTTCTCCCAATATAGCAAGCCCTGGACACCCCATCACACCGGAAAAGCAGTATTCAGAATTAAAATCACTTCCCATGATGATGATAGAGGATTTTAAGAAGGACATAAATAACTCCCTTAAAGAAATACAGGAATACAAGTAAACAGGTAGAAGCCCTTAAAGAGGAAACACAGAAATCCCTTAAAGAACTGCAAGAAAACACAAAGAAGGAATTAAACAGAAACATTCAGGATCTGAAAACAGAAATAGAAACAATAAAGAAATCTCAAAGGGAGACAACCATGGAGATAGAAAACCTAGGAAAGAGATCAGGAGTCATAGACACAAGCATCACCAACCGAATACAAGAGATAAAAGAAAGAATCTCAAGTGCAGAAGATACCATGGAAAATATTGACACAGTTGTCAAAGAAAATGCAAAATACAAAAAACTCCTAACCCAAAACATCCAG